GTGTATTCGGTCAACATACTTGTCGGCTAGCCTAGACAGACACGTGCACACAACCCCAGACATACACACATAAGTGCATGTTTCTCTGCTTCCCTATTGGTTCATCCTTCGCCTTACGACACCTTAATGTGCTCAACTAGTTAGACACTTCTCAGGCTATAGTAGTTTGTTTACCGGAGTGACCTTCTTAATTTGGTTCATACATTTGACTTTTCGTACACAACACTGGTGTCACAGCTTAGGAACCTACGCCATGGAATTACATCCTCTCACAGTTTACTGGTCTGATCCGACCTTACGTCCTACCGAAAGTGCATGGACGCAGTGTAAAGCATCGTTTACAAACTATCTTGACCTACTACCTGCGGCTTCTAACTACACAGAAGTACAGAAACTGAAGCTTCTCAGACACCTACTCGGTGATGATGGACAACGTCAATTTGATGCTTTGGAGCTCCAGTCTCAAGATACCTTGACGAAAGCACTAGATTTGCTGGATAAATCATAGGCCAGCGTCCAAACCTCTTCATGGCTCGCCTCAAATTCGGTCGACTTACACAGGAACCAGCGGAAACTGTAGACAGTTTTGTTGATCGCCTCATTCGCGGTGTACGACCCTGCGAGTATCCAACCATACCGAAAAATAGAATCGAGGGCGTCATGCTAGTGCAGCAGTTGATTAGTGGAATCACCAATAACCGAATTTGGGAATGCCTACTTTCCGAAGACGTTTCCAAATTGACTTGGGATAATGCTGTGGAACTAGGCCGCCTCAAAACATGTACGGCCAAACAGTTGCAGTGTTTCGCTACCTACGCAGACATACAGGAGGTTGCTAAGATCCATCGCTCGCCAACCGAATCCCAATCCCCACAGAAATGCTTCCACTGCGGTAGCCTACAGCATAAAGCCAATTTTACCAAGTGCCCTGCCCTAGAAATGGATTGCAAAAAGTGCGGTAAGGGTTCAGTAAGCATTTCTTGGTTGCATTCTACAACTCTCGTTTCTAGTTAGCAGTTACAGTCATCTGAAAATGTATTTTCCATTTGTCCAGAGCCTAAACTTCTTATGCCTGACATTTGTACTGTTACAGCTATTGCACGTGATACAACAACACATGTTGACATGGAACTTGATTCAGCCTCTCCTATCACTATAGTACCGAGTCCTTTATATGACAGTCACCTATATGACATGCCTATACATCCTACAGACCATCAATTTGACAGTTACACAAAGGACCGGGTAGAAATACTTGGATTTGTGATGACTGTCTTGCAACTTGAGGCCGTGAAATCATCAGTTGCTGTGTACGTCACCCGCTGAAATAACCGTCCCCTACTCGGGCGCAACGCCATGGTTGCACTGGGAGTTTCGCCGGCCCTATCTCGTATGCGTATCATGGCGGTTAACCTATCAAACCTACAGATACAGTACCCGAAACTGTTTGAACAAACAATAGGGCGCGCTCCCTCCGACGTTCACCGTATATGTCTGAAGCAGGATGCTAAAACGGTAGCTATTACTCACCCAGGTCCAATTCCTTTGTCCAGAAGAGAGGCTGTTTCGTCAGCATTAGGACAAATGATTGCAGATGATCTCATTGAACCCATTAACTGTTCTGAATGGGTCCACCCTATAGTTACAGTCCTAAAGAAGGACGGTACAGTGAGAAGATCCAATGACCTGCATGCCCTAAATCGTCAACTCGTGGTGGAAAAGTTTGTGCTTCCAATCGCGAATGAACTATTAGTCACACTAGCCGGCGCCCGATTTGTTTCAAAATTGGATACGAGGAAGACTTTCTTTCGCATGCTTCTGGTTCAGGAGTCAAGACCGCTGACCGCATTTCGTACTATGGACTGAGTCTTTCAGTGCAACGTCTTGCCAATGGGCTTGGGTTCAATCCCAGCAGCTTGGCAAAAGCTTTTGGTTCAATCAGTTGCCAATTTACCTGGTCAAATAGTACACATGGACGACATCTGTGTATTCGGTAGGACTCCAGAAGAACATGATTCAAGACTGCATGTTGTGGTACGTCGACTACCTGATCTTAACCTCCGGTTGAACATCGAGAAGTTCAAATTTAATGCCAGTGAAATCGAGTTCCTGGGTCATCTTATAAAAGCGACGGTATGAAGCCGAGTTTTGACAACGCGCGTGCCATCACCGAGGCTCCTCGTCCACAGAACTCATCGAAATAAAGCATTTTCTAGATGTGTTCTTACACCCTACCTTACCTACAGGGTTTCACGAACATTGCGGAGCCACCGAGTGAACTAACAAAGGAAAATAGTGCATTTGTTTGGGGGCACTCTTAACAAAAGGCATTTGGCGAGATAAAACGCCGAATTGCTTCCACACCAGTCATAGCGATTTTCGATGAGACGTATCCAACGATTGTCTCTACTGATGCATCAAACATTGGGTTTGGTGCTATACTATCCCAAATTCAAAATGGGCATGAAAGAGTTATTGTATACGCTTCCAGAAAATTGTCGGCGGCAGAGCTTTCTTACTCTGCCGAGGAAAAAGTAATCCTTGTCTGCGTTTGGGCCTGTGACAAGTGGAATTTGTTCTTGTTCGAAAGACCCTTCACCCTTTTTACAGACCACGTAGCGCTAACTAGCTTATTTACTCGGGGAACAAATGGCATCAGGCCACTTCGGATACATCGCTGGTATGCACGCTTGTTAACATACGACTTTCAAATTAAATTCCGTCCAAGGCATGAAAAGCAGGTAGCGGATGGGCTCTCTCGACTGCCACTAAACGAAACTAAAAATAATGAGGTTGATGATGAGAGGTTACTGGGCTCTTCCCTGAGTAGTGAACCAATCTCAGCTCTGATTAAGGAAGAACTCAAGAAGGCGACTCAGGAAGACGACACACTGCCGCGTTCAGGGGTTTCCGCTAAACGGCTGGCCACAAAATAACAAGATCACAGGCGAGTTTCGTCCGTACTACGTGTTGCGGCTCGAACTTTCATTTACAGATGGATGTTTAATGCGCGGCGAAAAATTTGTGGCTTCTCCGAGCTAGATTCAAAAGATCATGTGCTCACGAAAGCCACCCTGGTATCGTTCGTACGGAACGCAAGGTTGACACATGCTTTTGGTGGCCCAGAATGTCACACGAAATAGACAAAGTTGTTCATGACTGAAAATTATAGTGTTGCTCATCCCAACACTGGCACCCCAAGACCGCGGTTTCGTCCTGTTGGGACTCATCAGTTGGAGATAGCCTGAGTTGGGCTGGAACTCAGAGCCTAGTGGCTCATGGTTGACGCCATAAGCACTATGCCACTGAGACCGAGGTCCACCTCAAGTGAACCGAGGTCTCAATAGAGGTTGCTTGTAGCAACCCAACCGCCAGCGGATTCTCCAAATTCAACTTTGTTCATGACTGCTCTTCATGTCAAAGGGCAGACAAGAGTTCAAGGCCGGTTTCATCCCCTATACAACTCATTGCCTACCCTATGCGACCGTGGGCCAAATTAGCTTTTGACATCATGTGTCCATTTAGCTCAGCGCCTTAGCACAAAAGGAACTGTTTGGTGGCGACCTGCTTTTACAGTAAGTGGCCGGAAGTCCATTTGTGTGGAGAGGTGACTGCTGCCAGCATTACTCGATGGCTGAACTACATGTTTTCGCGTTTCGGAATACCAGAGGAGATAGTGACGGACAACGGACCGCAGTTTACAAGCCACGAATTTCTTTCGTTCCTTCAACTTTACGCTATCCGACACTCACGTACAACTCCTTATAATCCAGAGGCAAATAGCATGGCAGAGCGGCCCAATCGATTCTTGAAGAAGAGTATCCAAACTATTCGTTTATCTGGTACGGGTTAAGAGGATGCAGTAATACTAGCACTATTTTCTTACCCAACCGCACACCATCGAGCTACATACAAAACGCCAGCTAAACTCATGCTTGGACGTTAGCTTCGGACAAAGTGGAATGCCGCACTTCCGACTGCTGTAACTAATGCTTCCGACGAATTAGTTCCTCTTCATCAATATAGGACCACACACCGGAAGCTTACTACTCCGCTTCAACCCCGAACATTAGTGCGCGTGAAGGTAAACGCTGCATCAAAAAAACAGCCCACATTATCAGATCCGATAAGAATAACGCGCGCATATGGGCCAGGCGTTTACCGGCTGGAAGATAGCCGCACAGTCAACGCACGGAGGTTATTCACAAGTAGCAGACGAACGGAGCACGTGTCACCAACGTTTACTGACGAAACTATGCAAAGCACGCAGCTCGGCAGGAGGGGCCGAGAACCAAGACAACCAAATCGTTATGGCTTCAACGCATTACATGATTAAGCTGAGAGGTGATGTTGTGTATTCGGTCAGCATACTTGCCGGCTAGTCTAGACAGACACGTGCACACAACCCCAGTGCATATTCCTCTGCTTCCCTATTGATTCATCCTTCTCGTTGCGACACTTTAATGTGGTCATGTAGTTAGACACTTCTCAGATTACAGTAGTTTGTTTACCGGAGCGACCGTCTAACTTCGGTTCGTGCATTTTACTTTTCGTACAAGTGGAACTGCGACCAGTGACCAGAAAGGTGTTGCAATCAAATTGTGTGATATCATAAAACATATACGTATACCCGAGTACCAGTAATGAGGCAATAAACCATTTGTATCTAATGGTGAAGCAATCACAAACACGGAAACATGTGCTGGATGACATAGTAAATGAAATGCTTTCCCCAATCGAAACAGTGGAATTGAACACCGGGAATGCACAAGGATGCGAGATTTGTACCGAATACACACACACACAGAGCAGTAGTTTGTTGAGGACTGCTGAATGCTGTCAAAGGATATCGACAGAGTGACCCTCTATAACACATGAGCGAAGATAAGTGTGCGATTGGGGTACCATTGGGGTGAAAAGTGGACTAATACAGTTAGTAAATAAACTCCCCTGGCAAGAGTCTACTGCGAGGAAAAACATGCGGAATAACCACTATTTACCATTTGACTTGTTTCTGTTTCCCAGTACATTTGAAATGCGAGTTTGATGGTTATCTCCTTGGTGGGCCGATGAGCTCAAGTGAGACTTAGATCTCCTTACTGGTGGATTGTAACAGCGAAGACTCCGCAGCTTTGAGGATGCGTTTGATCGAATGGTTCTTGGGGAAAATGGCTTCTGTGTAGTAAATTTGTGCTGATGGATTTGAAGTATGTCATAACTATCAGGTTCCAAACGGCGAGCTCCCTGTGGAATAATAAACAAACAAGCGAGAGCTTAGGGAAGAAGGCAACAAACACAACAATATATATCTAATTAACATTCAGACTCCTTATACGCACTTCATAAAATGGAAGTGGAGAACACGTGATTCAATGCAACTATGAGTTGCGCTCAATGGCTGTGGGAGAACGTGCAGGTCATGTGAATCAAGCAGTGAACTTGTGGCAACCCGGAGGTTCCGGCGCGCATTTGTGGTGAGAGGGAAAGATATTTTCTGCTTAGTTTAACCATGTGCTTAGGGGAATCTAAGATGTTCGCCCGTGTTCCACTTGCATATAGGAAATCGTTGGGTTGATGCAAACTCAAAAATAACAAGACGGGTTTGTTGTTGCCACGTTACACACTATAGATGGTTAATTAGAAGTGTACTCGCTATTGATTCGTCATATCGCACGTGTCTTTTTCCCTTACTAGTCATTGAACAATACATGTGCTTGCTTCCGGTTGGCTGTCTTGCTTTAACCTACACGTAGCATATTATTAGGGGTTATAACGGCTATTACTTTCCTACAGTGTTCAAGTTCAGTTGTATCTTGCTGAGTTCCTCGTTGAAGCAGGGTATTTATCGACTGTAATATATGCATTCTGGGAGAGTCAAACCAACACGCGGGAACAACACCATGGACAAGTGATTACTACCCACGCGGCCCGTTGCGCTGATTACATGAAGAAGGAATAAAAATACGAGGCAACAAAGCAGAAAGAAATGGAGTAGTTGTGCAATGCAGACAAGTAAAAGCAACGTTAGCATGTGGAACTGCGTTTGTTTGCCTTACTGAGTTACTTCTGTGTCAAGGATTTATCACACAACCCTGGAAGATATTCATTCTGTTAAGAAGCTACTAATTACGCACCCATTGCAAATGCGTCTCTGTTTGAGTTAAATCGCGCTATTTATCTGAGTCACTAATGACGATGACCTGACACCGTTGCTTACTCAATATGAGACGATGCGCTTCACGCCTCAAAAGCATGACAACATCTCTGTGGAAGTAGATTTCAATGGTGTAGCAGCTACCGATTCACTTGTTAAAAGCTCAAGCTAAAGAATAGTGACAGTAGGGATTTCAGATAGGCGGTTCACGGGGACAGACGTATCCTGCTCCAACTCTCAAGCAAAGGTAGCCGTGGAAATGCTGGAGATATTTTTGGTCTTGGTTGCTTCTAACACAGCACACCAAGACTAGTTTCATCATGGTTTTGATCATTCCTGTTGGGATAGTCGAAGCCGGTGAAGGAATTTGTCGTACACGGGTTAACGGGTGACACGTTGATAACTAACCCACTGAGCTCGGAGACCAAGATGAAAATGGTGGCCTAACCGACCGCTTTTCGGTTGTGAACACCACCCCACAAAAAGGGAAAACTTCATATTAAAACTACATTACACCATAAGTGGAATAACATAAAATACCCGAGAAGTCGACCATTTCTGGAAGAGAACTATAGCGTCTTGTAGATTCTTAGTTTATTTAAGTATGTTGTTAAAATGCCAGCTAAAATTATCACCTTATTGTACATTTAGGGTCGGGATGCAGAATTTTGAGCTGTATAGCGAATTTGTTTGTTTGACTCTTAAGCACCACATACATACACATCGTGCCACATTTAGAATCATTGCAGTATGTTCCGCACCGCCGCGCGCCATCACGGCACTCGCTTCGCCCGCGGTTAGGATTCAAATTCTCCTTGCACAATCTTGTGCGGACGCTCATTCGCATAAGTTCGACGAGCGCTACTCATTGTCTCCCGAATCCTGGGTTTAACTTCTGTGGGTCATACTGTCTCTCCAGTTCACAGCATTGGGACACACTTTTCTGAGATTTACGCGTGAAAGCACTTCACTCATGAGCTGGTTGGGATTGTAGCCTCATTCGGAAGAAGCTGATGAATGTCAAAGGACCCTGCAAGCACCCTTGCAGGTTACAGCATATCAAGGCCACGGAATATTTTACGTCGCCGATCCACTAGGCATCGCATCATCGCGTAGCGCGAGCCGATCAATACACACCGCGTCTTCTTGTGGGTGTGCGCCCACAACCGCAAGACGATCGACCGCTGAGTCCGGCAAATTGCGCGCGATCGCGAGAGAGAAACAGTGAGACAACCCTAATAGAGACGTAAGCGGAGTTAAACTTGGGAATCGAGTGACCATTGATCTACCAGCAAATACCAGCCCGCGTCAAAGGATTCGAACTATTCGGTCAATAGGATAAACGCGTGGAGTGGAACTCACTCACATTGGCTGAAAACCAGACGCGGAATAGTGAGTGACCTTAACCTCCTAAATTAGCATGTTTCGGTTACCAATACATAGAGTTAACCCATGCTGTAGATATATATACTTGCTGTCTACCGAGTTTTGGCCTTTTGTATTCCTTCGGTTGGCTGGGCGCGTGACTGAGAAGTCAGACAGTTGCAGTCTCATGGGGCATCTAGCAGCTGTAGAACATTTGTCAGTGGTAGAGGGAAAGAAGAAGCGGTACAATGCCCCCAGTATCAGCAAACTGACCTTGGCGCCGGAATAGTCACGCTAAGGTCCGGGGGTTGACTAACCAGCAAAATAAACCTCACGTGAACTGATGGACGGGACTGCCGGCACGCAGTGTCCAAAAGTGCATGTGGAAAGTGCAATAAGACAGTTAAAATAAGACTTACGTGTTCTAACTGCTCCATCTATTTCCATGCCAAATGTGGGAACATAAAGCCAAGCGAGTTAACGCTGGTCAGGCGCAAGTCAGACTTCATTCGGAGGGTCATTGCGAAGTTGTGGTTAGGTAAATGGATTGCAACGTGCAATCCCTATGTAGACTGCGATCCACAGTGAAGTAAGATTGGTTCAATGCGATCACTGGGACCGTAGCCGAAGCACACTTCACGCTGGTGTGCAGTGTTTTCGGGCGGGCACCATTCAATTTCCACCTGCACACGTACTTTGGTTCAGCATGAAGGGTGCTACCGTCCCAATCTGCAAGGCCGTGGTTGCACTGTAGCAGAAGTATCAAAAGCTGGCAGAGATGGTTGAGCAAATATTGGGCAGTAAGATAGCTTCAGGAAGGACGGGTGTAGCAGGCTTCTTCACCGAACTCCACAGAAGCCTAACCCCCAATGCCGGGTGTTACCCTAACAAATTGACCGCTGCGAACACGAGAAGTAACCACCTCGCCACTACTCCAACTCGAACAAACGTTAACGAATGTTTCATCCCTATCCTATTTGCAACCATTTCTTCAGAACCCATTTGCTCCCAGCAGGTTTCGTCGAAACTCAGAAAAACGCCAATATCAGTAGTACCTGGGCCGGCTGCAACCAAGAACACACCAAAATCAACAGCTACAGTTTCTAATGCAACACCCAAGAATAATGTGAGAGGCGACGAAGCACTGGGGCGTAGCAAAACGCTCGGTCTCCTCTGAAAGACATTCAGAAACAATGGAATGACCCAACCATAATATATACCAATGTTTAAGAGTCAGTATCAAACCCATTGTAAGAGAAGTTGATGGAGGATCTGAACCAATTAAACACCATTAGCAACCGTAGTGTCGGACTGTGCTAGAGTAGAGAGTAGCCCAATCCCCATCAATGAAGAACGAACAGGGCGAGTACGCGAAAAACTGGAGTATATTCTGTGAACAGAACGTGAACCAAACGCGGGTGAAGAAATCACTCTGTACAGCCTGCACTAGCCGAATGCGCGTTCGATCATGGGTACTGATTTCAAATCAACACTGGTCTGTTGATGGATATCTTTCCGGTGCGTTAGGCATCAGCCGGGTTGAATTTGGACACAGTTCGTGCTGGTTTTTGGGGCAGCTGGTTGAGTGAACGTGATTCATGTGCTCTGTTGGTTTGCGCTCGGGAAACCGTACCTTCCTATCACCTTCCTCCATAGGTTGCTCGATGTAGGATCTCCGTCTTGTATAAAGCTGCAACCGAGTTACTGGCTTACGCGTACGGCTGGATTTGCATCTTTGCTGGGGCATGTTATCTGTCGTCAGGGTTGGGTTACATGCCGTTACGGCTTCAGTAAATCTTTCCATTTCGAACGCATCCAACCGAAGATCAAGACTAAGAGGCCCATCGATGCTCTGTGGATCAAGAAAACACGTTCGACGGATTTGGTTAACTTGGCGCCTCCACAGCGACGGACCCACCTAGACGTCGTACAAGACACGCCCAATATGCTTTTTACTGATGCCGACAGCCCACCTTGGATGATCACAGTGATAGTCTCTAACTAACACACGATCTCCTGGTCGCAACATACGTTTTTCATGCGTTCCAACCAACTGCTAGCCCGATACTGGTAGGGTAACATCGTGTGTCAGACGTAATTTTGGGTTCCTCAGAGCTTCGGCTGGGGGACAGCCGTTCGAACTTTGCGGATTTGCAGTGATTTTGTAGGTTTGCATGGATGTATTCAGTATTCCCGTTGTCGTTAACACACCCCAGGATTGCCGTAGGGGATTCATCTCAGATAGATTCGACTCACTTAGGATATGGGTAGGTGTTGAGGAACACAACTTTTTGATGGGCATGTCGGAAAATTCCAAATTATCAAGCCCGTCATTATCAAGAATGTTGGGTTCACAACCAAGTATGTAAATGGTACCATGATCGTACTTGCCTGAAATTGCCACTTCACAATCAAATTCACCAAGCAATTTGATTTTATCGCCGGATGCATTTCTGGCCGTATTATTCGTCCGACAATATACTAGTGAACCCAATTTCCTGGTAATTTTCGACAATCGTTAAATCGGACGCCGTATCAAGTTGTAAAAGAACTGTTCTTCCTTTTATTCCAGCAGTCACATATTTGCGGTGGTGTTTAAAATTGGGAGCACTTATTGCAAGTACGGCGTGGAAGTTGGGCTCGGTCTGATCGACGTCTTTGGCTAGGTGTACGAACATTGATTTTCTTTGTGGCCGCGTTGATTGCACACTGAGCATTCGTGCTT